CCAACTCTCCCCCCCCCCCCCCCCGCATCCCGCCCCGCATCCCGCCCCGCATCCCCCCCGCATCCCCTCCCCTCCCCCCCCCCCCCGCCACGAAATAAAAGTAGGAGACCAGCACCATTACAGACACGAAATGTGGACTAAGGAGGTAGACTGACTGGACCCCACTGCCTCAATGTCATGCTTAAGTCATAAAAAAAACCACTAACAGTTCCTGAATTTCCCACAGGACAGGGAACATTGAGGATTTTTAGATACTTCTCCTCTTCTGCCTGGGAATGTTTCCCCCACCCCTCCTCCCTCTTGTCTCAAGGCACTGCCTTCTGCCTTTGAAACTGCATCCATTGTAAACAGCTCTGAATATTAACACAGCCCAGAGTCCTATTGCTTTTAAAGGACCCCCAGGGTTTCAAATTGCAGGGTTTCAAATTGAGGTGGGGGCAGTCCCCAGTGAGTAAATGTCACCAAGCTCATTCCAAGAGTTGAAAGTTAGGCTTGCTCATGAAGCTTAAAGTAGTTCAACTTATGGGGTATGTCAAAGGAATCTCTGAGTTTAAACAAACAAACAAAAAAGAATTAAAAAGTCCTGGGACAACCAATATTCCTTATTGCTTATAGTGACTTTCAATTCAACGAGTCCCTTTTCTAGATGCCTTTGCCTGTGACTATCACTTTTAAAATAACCAGAGGCTATTTTAAACAACCTCCTTCCGCCTTCCTGCTAACAGATCTGCTGGCTTTAGCAGGTGCACAAAATTGGTCCAGGTGCAATGTTAAGTCACACAAAACCCTCCTGCTCTCTCGCATTCCTGTCCACCCCGAGAGAGGGGGTGCTGAAAAGACTTTGCACCAAGGAGACACCTCTGCAGAATGGGGGTGGAGGGGAGGCCCTTTCATTGTGAGCATGTGTCTGAGGGAGAGAAAGGTCAGCCAGAGGCCATTCCACTGCTCAGGGAAGGCTGCATGGGGAACCAAGGCAAAGGCATTAACACTGCAGGGGGACCTCCCGCCTGAGAAGAGCTGGGGTGCCCCACACTGGGATGTCCCCTAGGAACCAGCTGTGCTTATAGCTGAATAGTCTTCCTCTTTCTCAAGGTGAAGAATTACTGCCAACAATACATTAAAAAATCAAATGTAATTATGGAGAGAGATGAACACACTTCTGTTTAAAACCGTCCCTTGAAAAGGGGGCAAGAACAGCTCTGACACCCTAAAGGCAAGAGGGACACTGTGCCAGAAAGCTCATGGGGGGAGGGGTGTCTCTGAGCACTCAAAGGTTAGATTTTATGGCCGTAGTTTCATGTCAGGGGGACTTTCTCTCAAGGCAACCAATGTTATTTGCCAGAGGCTTCTCCTCACTCAGAAAAAAGGTGTCGGAGACCTAGTTACCCACAGGTGTTCCAGGAGAAGCAAGGCCATGCTTCTGGCACTGGGTGCAGAAGCTCCAGCGAAAGCAGAACTGTGAAAGCCCTCTCACCTTGCAGAGGTTCTCTCTGCCACTTCCCCATGTGCTACTCCAAACCACCCTTTACCCATCCTACAGGTAGGAAGGTGTTCATTGTCTCCTGAGTCCTTGTTTAACGAGACAGGTTTGAAACAACCCGGAGGAAATGAAGACCTCAGGACAACCCGGACAATGATCTACTTCTTAAAAACACACACACACAGGAATCTCCGTTTGGGTTCCTGAACAACTTGGGCATCTGCATTTTAAATCTAATTTGCATAAACAGGATGGGAAGTATTTTCCAAAGTTTTAATTCACAGCACCCTGCACACCTGGGCCTTGGAGCACAGCTGTACAATTTGAAAGACAAAGGCCCTCTTTGCTTCACAACTACAAAGGCAACCATGGTTTGTGGGTTTTTCCTAAAGTAATCTTAAGTGCCACTTACATACCCAAACCCACGATTTAAGGCACCCGGGTTTGGAACCGCAAACACATAAGGAGACATAATATAAAGGCAAACCAACACATTCCTCTTCATGTGGCAGAGGATAACCCATCTGGTGTCCTGTAGGGAATGTCCTGGCTTCTGAACGCCAGGCGTCTTCCTGCACATTGAGAATCAGGAATTGTGCTTCTCCAGGGGCCCCTTCTTTCCTGTCACCACCCTACTGGGCCATCATGTAGCTCCGAGAGCAGTTAAGCTAGCAACCCTGTGCTGCGGTATGCCACAGGTAAGAGTCTAAGGCATGTTTTATTTAATACTTCAACAGTTTCTGAAGCCATGCTCTCAAAAATAATTTCAAAGAAAGCAAATATCTGAATTCTAAGAAGCTCAACTTCTAAGTTTCTGGGAAGTTAGAATAAGGCTTGGCAGTGCTTGGTGCCATTTATGAATGTGCTGGTTGGACTGTGCCAATCTCACCTACGTAATGGGCTGGCAGACTCAGTTACAGCTCGACTGCTACAACTATAAGTTATTGTGCTGAATAAGTTGTCCTCAGGCCCAGGACAACTCCATTCCTTCTATTCAAACTGCACTGACATTCACTATTAAAAAGTTTTACTTTCCTTATGCTAGGCCTAAGAACAACTACAAAATTAAGTGCACTGTTTATAAAAGCCCACCCCCCACCCCCCAAAAATAAGTTCTATAAAGCCACAGGTCCCTTTCTGTCTCAAACCCATAGCCGGAAATTGATTGAACTAGCTGCAGTAAATCTTGTTCATAGGGTTATAAATTAGGTCAAAGCATTTTCTAGATACAATATAAACTCAGAGAGTATAAACTTGGTGAAACTACAACATATTTTATTATACAGAAACTTTCTCCCTGAAGTCTTGCTGAATCACTGCCAGTAATATAACTGATGGAAAATTCAGAGTAAGACTAATGATTTAAATGGGAAATCAGAAGTCTAGACAAAAAAAAAAAAAAAAATAGCCTGATTATTTTAATCAGAAAAAAATAATAATAACTTCCAAAATTTCAAAGGATCCCCATTTTGGAACTGAACATTGTATAGCCAGAAGTCACACTCATATTAAAATCTCATCAGTTAACACCATCATCAGTGCAATCAAGTCTACAGAAGCTCCAAACACCCCTTTTGGTATTTGCGGATCATCATGTCTGAATTAGAGAAAAGACTGTAGTTTTAGAGCTATTTGTGCCATGCAAAACATCCTAGGCAGCAGAATGCTTAAAAAACCACCAGTAGATGTGCTCAAAAAATTAAAGGGCAAGGTAAAGTGGATCTTGTGACCATAGGAAAAGTGCAAATCCGAGGACACCCTGTCCTCTCTCTCAGGGAAGTCGCCACTTCTGAACTAGCGCCTTCCCCACTCTGCCCCTGGCACATGGCCCTGGGAATCACTCTTCCAACAGGTGAACACTCAAGAGTTATTCTGATTCTGCCCACATGACCCTTTAAAAAACCACCTTAAGAGCATGTAAAAAAAAAAAAAAAAATCCACAATACCCCAGACTGCCCCAACTAAATAAAATACCCTGTAACTGCAATGTACTCACAAGACTGGACAGGGCCACTGCCCGTGTGAAAACCCACAGTGACCACTGGTCTTCACTAAGTCACTGAACCCCACAGAAGCAGCGGAATATGGAAGAGGAAACCTAGTCACAACTCAAGGGCCCAGCTTCAGAACTCTTCAGTACATGATCTCCCAACAAGCGTGTGGTGTGCAGTGTGGTCCAAGGGAAATCTGGGCCCCATCTTCAGAGGCACAAGATCTTCACACTGAAAAGGAATTAACTCCTCTCTTCCCCAGAGGGCAGCCAACATCCAGGCCACATTTCCTCAGATCAGGCCACGGTGCTGGTTAAAAATTGTGTCACCAGTTTCTCTTTTTTACACCGTGAATGAACGCGTGCCGGAGGTTACTACTGTGCCTCTCCTGTGCTCTAGGGAAGATTTCCAGTTACTCCACTGAAAAGCAGACTGCTCCCCGGCTCTTCGGGAAGGCACTCCGTTCTATAGAGATGCTAGTTACTGATAACTCAACAGGATTTTGACTCATGGGCCAGGCTGTTTAAAAGTTTAAAAAGTTATACTCTACCATGCTTACATGTCTATTTTTTTTCCCTGCCAAATCTCCTTTAAGAGTGTCCCACTAAGTCCTATAGGCCAAAATCCTAACAACACAGGGAAGAAGAAAAAAAAAAAAAAAAGCTTCTTTTGGGTAAAACAAACTGCTTAAATCGACCAAATCCCTGACACCCTCTCCTGAAGTAGCACTACTCCAGAACTAACTGGCACCATGTATAAAGCAGAAATGCTAGAGGGTGGGCCTCCGCCACTGGATCATCGGGCCCAAGGGGGGCCCCAGGGAACAGGCAGAAAGGGTCTGGAACACAGTCCCCTAAAATGCCAACCAAGCAGAAAAGGGCAAACTCCCAGCAGTCAGATTTCCAGGAACTCTCAAGGTCCTCCGACTTGGGGGTCCCCCAGAGAAGGCTGCTTTCTGCCCTGGCGTGAGCCAAGTCACTAATAAATAATGTAACTGCAAGACTGGAGCCAGGAGTCACCTTCATTCATTACCCACTGGAAGGCCAAGGAGCTCAGACACCACAGAGTTGGGTTACAGGAGTGGAAAAAAGAAACAGACCCACAGACCCAAGACAGACTTCCTCACACTCTCCCCTCCAGATGTTTCCCACTCTCCACCCACACACACGCAGCAACACCCACCTCCGGGCTCTCATTCACATTCTCACCTCCAGATAGGAGACACGCTCGCTAACTCCCAGGTGGCCCTCCCGACCCCGCTCGCGCACCCCCAGACCCCACAAGCACCCTCTTCTCTCTCCATACCTTCACTCACACACTCTTCCCTTGCAGACTTCTCACTCCCGCCCTCCTCTCCGTTCCGGAGCCCGGAGCACGATCTCCCCGCTGCAACCCACACTAAGTTTCCCAGGCCCCCCAACTTCACACGCACACAACAGACCCCGCACCGCCTCCCCGGAGAAGCCTCCCGCGGCCCCAGCCCCAGTGACAGCGCCCGGGACGCGGGCAGCGCGGCGCGCGGCACTCACAGGCTCTGCGTCCAGGCGGGCAGGTCCCCGGGCAGCGCCGCCAGCCCGCGGCCGCCGCAGTCCAGCGAGTCCCCGGCGCAAGTGCAGACGGCGGGGCAGGGCGCCCGGCCTGCGGCCCTGGCGGGCTCCGGCCGGAGCAGCAGCAACAGCAGCCAGGGGAGCAGGCGAGGCCGGCGGCGCGGGGCTCCGAGCGCTCCCCGGACCCGCTGCGCCATCTTGTCTGGAGCGCGGACTCCGGCGCGGGGCTGCGAGGTCGGGACGGCTCTGCTCTGGCACTAGGCTCCGCAACGGTGCATGGCCACCGGCGCAAGTTCTCTCCGCGGCGACTCCGTGCTCAGCGGGCCCCCGGTGCCCGGGCTGCCCGGCAGCGCCCGGAGGGGTCCGCGAACCCCGCGCCCATCCGGGCCGACGCGCCCGTGCTCGCTGCGAACCCCACGGGTCCGGGCCAGGGGCGCTCGGCGGACGCTCCGGTCCTCTCGCCGCGCTGCCGGCCGGCTCCCGGCTCCCGCGCACGCCAAGTGCCGCCGCCGCTGCGAGGACGGCGCTCAGCCGCGCAGCCCGGGCTCTGCGCCCGCGGGCATCTTCCTCGAGGCTCCGGCGTCCGCAGCGACCCGGGCCGGACGCGCAGCAGCCCCTGCTCTCCTCCGGGGGCCGGTGCGCCCCGCTGTCCCGGGCTCAGGACGGAGCGCGCAGTCCCGGGCAACGCACGACTCCTCCGCGCTGCGCTGCGAGAGCCTCGTCGCTCTCCCGCGGAACAATCAGCCGCTCGCCGCTCGCCTCCCGCGGGCTCAGCCCCGCTGGTCCCGAGGCCCCGCCCCGGCCGCTCGCCTCCTCACACCCGGACTCCGCGCCCCGCGGCCTCGGGCCGGCCCACGTTGGGTGCTTTGCCACGGCGCCCCGCCACGCCCCGCCTCCTGCTCATTGGCTGCCGGAGCCCCCGGCGGCCAGCCCGGGCGGCCATTGGAGCGTTCGCCACGGTCCCGCCCCTCCCGCCTCGGGCCGCCCCGCCCCACTTTCTTTTCCCACCCGAGGTGTGAAGGGCGGGGGGACTGGGCGGGGAAAGGGAGAGCCGCCCTCCGGATCTTAAAGGGGACGTGCCGACCATGGGTGCAGAAGGAGAAAGCGGGCAGAGTAGTCCAGCTGTGCCCTCTGGGTCTAGGGGAGAAGAGAAAATTGGTTAAGAGCGTAACGCGCTCCCCACCCCCACCCCCACCACCCTTTGGAGCCTACTGATCCCAAGATTTCTTTCCTCCTCCCGGGGCTGGAAACAAGGCCAAAATCAGCGGTTCTCAACCTGTGGGTCACGACCCCTTTGGCGGTCAAAGGACCCTTTCATAGGGATCGCCTAAGACCATCCTGTATATCAGATATTTACATTACAATTCATAACAGTAGCAACATTACAGTTACGAAGTAGCAACTAAAATAATTTTATGGTTGGGTCACAACATGAAGAACTGTATTTAAAGGGCCAGAAGGTTGAGAACCACTGATTTAGATGTATTGTAGAGCAAATCCGCACCCGTTTTCCTGGTGTCTTCTAAGAACATCGGCACAGATTTAAAACTTTACAAATGTCCTACTGATTGGAGCATCTTTCATTATTTCATTAGGGGTGACGGCCTTCCTCCTTGCAAAGCAGGAGCTCCTTTCTGCTCCTGACTTGTTCTTGACCTCTTCAATCCAACACCATGTCCTGGGTTACCAAAATGCATGTGTACTGCCCCCCCACCCCTACCCCCACCCCCACCTCACCCTACCCACGCAGCCCTAGTCAGTTGTAGGGCAGTTCTGGGGTTACTTTGTTTGTTTGCTCGTTTGTTCGTTTGTTCTAACTTTGAGGTTTACAGTAAGGTTGGAGCATAGCAACCAAATGCTATGACAGTGCATTGAAACAGCAAGGCAGGCACCTGCTGAGGGGACAGGCATACACCGTGAAACGGGGGAGGGGGGGGGGATTAGCACAGAAATATATATAACTGCCCCTCTGGCCGTTTTGGTTTACTGGTGTCTCATGTCCCTTCCCAAGAGTGTGCAAATTTCTACCATAACTGCACACACTATCAGGAAAATTAAACAAGTTGAGTCTGCTGAAAACCATTTGTTCCCGCAAATAAAATCTGACTTCTGTTTTATGAAAACAAAGGGGGAGGAGATGTTTCTCAGGAAGAGAAAACAGAAAATGTTTAAAGCGTTTTGTTCCATTTTTGACACATTCCAAGCGGGGTGCTTTAGTTGAGATGTCAGACTTTCCCTCAGCCATAGAGCACCACTTTTCTTTAACCAAACCTGGGTCTGGGCTTGATAGTCAAGAGGTTGCTGTTTTCTTTTTATTCTTCCTCCCATTCTTTTTACTCCTTCCCTTTCTTCTGATTCATTATGCTATCAGATAATGGTGCATCATCTCTCGCTTTCCCCCACCCCCTCCCTCTCTCTTCCCTTCCCTTCCCTCCCTCCCTCCTTCCTCCTCTTCCTCCTCCTCCTTCTTCCTCTCTCTCTCTCTCTCTCTCTCTCTCTCTCTCTTCTCTCTCCTTCCTCCTCTCTCACATCATCTCAGCATTCATGCCCAAAGCAATGCTCAAATATGTGTGTAAATAAATCCAAACATGATTCCCAAAAAGCATTATCTGAAGAATGCTGCACCTGACCCAGTCTGCCAGGGCTGTAAGCAGCTTTGATGTTTCACTTGTGATCCACATAAACGTAAACCTTCCAACTGGACAAGAAGCATATCTCTTTGTCATAATGCCTTTTGGAAAAATAATAAGCAGAGGAATGCAATTTAAAGGATTCCAAATTTATGAAGTCCTCTATATCAGTGTTTCTTAAATGTTCCCAGGCCAAAGAACAACAAACAGTAGTTTAATGCCAAATAGCCATAAACTTCTCCTTAAACAAAACTGCCATTCTCTTCGCCCCTCCCCCCAATGAAACAGCATATGCAGCAAAAAGAAATTTAACTCATTGGAACTTGAGCTGCTGACTTAAATCTCTTTCAGGTTTGTTCCACTATTAGTACTGTAAAATGGATATCTATTGTCAAATGTTTTCCAAATGCTTTGGGTGTACCCGTACGATGCTTTTTAGGGATGCGAGAGTGCTGGAGGACAGGCCTTGAGGATCTGCAAGGTAAGAGTGTGCCCACAACCTCAAGCATCCCCTGTGGTCTGGTTCCCATGAAGCCAGAGAAGAGGATTCCAAAACCGAGGAGCTCTCGGGGGCCTTGGGCGCCTGAGCCTTGGCAGTTCCTCCATCCATGACCTCATGTCTGCTCCCCGTACCACGATGGAAGTTTGCCCGCATACTAGCAACCTGCTTGTGATGGAAAGGAGTGTGGGCTTCGCGCAGCGATGCCAAGCTCAGGGGAGAATTCATCTGTAGCAGCCACCTAGGATCAGAGACACCTGAACAACAGCGGCCACTAGGACGTCTGTGTCCCTGCTTACAGAGGAGCCTGGGTCTCATCAGCGCACAGCAACAGTTGATTTGGGCACTCCAGGCCTCATGTTCCTTCACTGACCTTTTCATAATTTTGAATACTTATTCCCTAAAGGGGTTGTCCAGGGGCTTTAAGTTTTCCAATGTGTTTAACCTACCAGAGACCAAACTCCAGGGCCAGCATCAAATTAAATCCCTAATGAGCGTGACTGCAGGTCTGTCTTAAATACAGAAGCCCTAGCAGTTAACCATCTTAAAACCAATGCAAGAGAGGAAGCCAGCATTTAAATAGCCTCAAATCACCAAGTGGGAAGAGAAGCAAATGACAAAATAACAAGAAAGCAGGTTGATCACAGGTATTTTTTTTTTAAACACGAATTCCAGGGGACTGAATTGTGGCGGTTTGTTCCAGTTCCCGGAGGCGACTGCTGCTGGTCACAGAACGCGGGACTGGGGGCTTGCTCACGGACAGAGGTCTACATTGTGTTCGGTGCATTGGAAGAGCACCAGGCAGCGTTCGGAAGGCCCAGGGTCTAGCCAGGTCTTACTACTCGGGGAACCTCGGCCCACTCATCTCCCTTCTTTAAGCCTCAGTTTTCTCAAACGGAAGCAAAGAGAGTGGTGCTTCTGACCTGAGCGCTAAGATAGTTAAGGGAGGATCCACTGTGACCTCAGATGCAAGGGGCTTTACAAACTATTCAGGGGACACACTTCTACGGCTTCTTTTCAGGTGTTAGTGAGTTTGAACACTGAACATTTTAGAGCTCACATACATACTCTAGATGGAACATCTTAGTAGGTGCTGGCAGCATAGAGCACCCCCGCCCCCCAAGGAATGCCACAAAGAGTTAATAATTACCTGTAAAACCCCTGGAGACTTGCTGGGTGATGACAGCCCTGCCTTAAGCCTGTTTTGTATCTCTTGTCCAAGGAAAATAAAGCTGTGTACTCATTAACTCCTTCCTTGCACAATCTTGTCAAAGAGATGGATTGGTGAGGGAGGTAAGGGGGAGCTAATGAGTCCATGGATGGAACATAAGAGATCGTTTTGAGATTTCTCTGTTCCCCATTCCAAGATTTTTCTTTGGTGGATGTGGGAAGAGGTGTGTCTTGTTGTGCAATCTCTGGCTACTGGAATATGGCTAATGCCCAACAATGCCAAGTGTAGCTGCTGCATTTCTGCAGCAAGACGGGCTGGTGCCTGCAGCCCTGGCCTCTGCTTCCCGGCATCACCAACCAGCGGCCAACACTCACCAGGGTCCACCTTCTACCACAGCCGAGGACCTGCACACTAGTTCTTGCCGTGTGAATTTGCCATTTTAACTGCTTCACTAAAAGCATAAAGAAGCATTTTAAATGTTTCTTTATTCTCTCAGCATTTAAAATTTCTGAGATTCTGGAGTGATTGTCCGTGGGAGAGGCAGCCACTTTGCTCCAGTGACTGCACCTCTCACCCCCAATCTGCTGCCTTTGCCACTGTCACTTGGAGCAGCACGTGCCTACGACCATTGTCATCATCCCCACTTTATAGGTGAAAAAGCTGAGGTTAAGTGATTGTGTCAAGATTACACAGGGTCAAGAATAAATGCAACCTTACATCAAAGTTCCATCTCAACCCTGTCACACGCTTTCTGTTCAGCACACGTCTTAGGAGATGTGTCATGATGCTTGTTTCTCAAGGATAATGTGAGAATGGACATAATTTATTTCCTTTTCCCTATTTGCGAATAGCTTCCCAGAATTCCCTTCTTGATTTAAGGTAAATATGTGAGCCTTTCCCTCCACCGTGCACAGCAGCATTTGTGT